TTCATCTAGTTAGAGAGATACAAATGTGTGGCCCAATTTTCTTGAGATGGATGTATCCATTTGAGCATTACATGAAGATACTAAAAGGATATGTGAACAATCGCAGTCGACCCGAAGGTTGTATAGTTGAACAATACATTTGTGAGGAGGCAGTTGAATTTTGTACTGAATACTTATCAAATGTCAACCATATTGGTCTTCCGACTTCTCAGCATGATAGTAGAACTGATGGAGAAGGAATTATGGGCAATAAAGTAGTTACAATCTCAAACTTGCAATGGGAACAAGCACATTTATATGTACTACACAACTCTGTCAAAGTTGAGGAGTATGTAAAGATGCACATGGCCGAGCTTAAGCAAGATAACCCTAATAGATCGGAGATTTAGTATGCAAACAAGCATAATAAGAGTTTTACAGTTTGGTTGAAACAACACATTCTTGAGAAGTTGATTGCCAATCCTGATTCAGTTTCTAAAAAATTAAAATGGTTAGCAAGAGGTCCAGATAAACAAGTTCTTTCCTTCATTAGCTATCTCATTAATGGGTACACGTTTTATACCAAAGAGCAAGATGATCGGAGCATAATGCAAAATAGTAGTGTAACTCTTATAGCTCAAGCAATGCATATATCTAGTGCTAAAGACAAAAATTCCTTATACGCAAAAATGTCATACTTTGGGGTAATTGAGCACATTTGGGAGTTAGATTACATTAAATTTCAAGTTTTAATTTTTGGTTGTAAGTGGGTTGATCGAAAAAATGGTCTTAAAATTGATGACTTGGGGTTCTTAATGGTGGATCTTAATAGAGAAGCTTATAAAGATGAGCCTTTTATTTTGGCTTCACAAGCTTACCAAGTGTTCTTTGTTCTTGATTCGGCTAAAGTAAATTGGTCTATCATTTTATTGAGCAGTAAAACAAATGAAGATATGAATGATTCTACAGTTGAAGATGATCCCTTTATGGGGATATCATTTGAAAGTTACTTTATTGAGGATGAAGCCTTTTATATGAGAAATGATTATAATGAAGGTATTTGGATTTCAAAGAAAAGAGGTAGAAGCATTCGAGCAAAGAAGGAGAGCAAAGATAAGGAACGTACAAGAAAAAGAAAAAAAATAATTTAAACTTGTAGGTTACTTGTTTTGTGTGATTTAAAAATTTATTGTTATTTATTATGTGCTATAGTTATTTTGTAATGTGTGATTTATATTAAACCTAAAAATTACTTATTATGTGCTTTATTTTTATATGCTATATTTGTTTTGTAATATGTGATTCTTATGTTGAAGAATTCGGGGATACATAAATAAATGAAGTAATTGAAGAATGGTGTCAATATATTTTTCAAGTGTGAACTTCATAAAAAGAAGATTAATAGAATTACCTTGAAGAAGTAGTTAGGAATTTTTTTTAATAGGCAGTTTATTTTTGAAAAAAGGTTACTTTATGTAATTACATTTGTTTATTGATTAATTTTAAAATTAAATACAATAAATTTCGTTGGTATTAAAATCTGAAATGGTTGGTTGCTGCTATTTTGATTTCTTTTTGCAGGGAGGCTGGTATAAAAACAGCTCACGAATTAAAAAAAATCATATAAAAAATAATGGTTATATAAATAACCGTCATTTATGCTAAAATAAATGACGGTTAAAAAAAATGCCCGTCATTTATACTGACTTTAAATGACGGGTATCTCATTTACCCGTCATTTAAAATATGGTCATGATTTTTACCATATTTTAAATGACGGGTATATAACTTACCCGTCATTTAAAGTACCTGTCATTTAAAAAGACTTTATTTAAATGACGGGTATATCATTTACCCGTCATTTAAATTCTCAATTTGCTTCTCCCTTCGTAAAAATTTTATTTTAAATGACGGTTTTATAACCGTCATTTATTGGAGGTTTTTAAATGTCAACCGAATAAATGACACTTATTAACCGTCATTTATGGACTAAAATAACCATCATTTATTTCCTTTTTTGTAATAGTAAATTAAAACCTATTTAAATTATTAAATTTAAACGCTAGTTGATATGTATAATAACAAAAACTGATATAAGTTTTCTATATATATTTGTGTGACTAATTTGATATTTTTAGAAAATATTAATCTTGAAATTACAATTTTTAAAAAAGTAGATTACAAATATAGAAAAATAATTGAACATTGTTTAGATAATTTAATTCAAAAGCCAATTTAGGTGTATAATGATAAAAAAGAATATGAATTTTATGATATATTTTTTAAATAATTTAATATTTTTAGGAAAGATAATAAAATTTTATGTATAATGTATAAAAGGGTTTGAATTTTTTTATAAATATTTTTAAAATTTAATATTTTTTTAAATATTGAACTTTAAATTATAATTTTTTTAAAAAAGAGTCTATATTTTCATCAAACTTGATATTTTCCAAATATAAACTATTTCTTGAAAAAAAAAGACTAGACTTTTACATTTAGTTTCATACTTTTTTGTCAATCATATATTCCTTCCGTTTAAAAATATAAATATTTTTAATTAAATCTCACTCTTCAATAAAATAGATACCTACTTTTCAACTAGTCCTATCTTTTTATATTTACTCTTATTAAATACCTTGCAATAAATATAAATTCATTATCAACATTAACACTTCAAAAAAAAAGTAATGATTACACCTCGAAAAACTAAAAATGCCTTATATTTTTAAACATCCAACCCTTTAAAAAATATCTTATATTTTTAAACGGAGAAAGTACTTGTTAATATCTTTAAAGGCTAGAAATCAGTAAAAAAAATATTTTCTTAAAAAATTTTATTCAAAAGGAAGTTGAAAGATATAATAATAAAAATGTACATGAATTTTTTTATATATATACATATATATATATATATATTTGTGATTAATTTAATATTTTTTGAAAATATTAAACTTAAAATCAATAATGTCTTTTAAAAGGGAAGATTAAAAAATAAAAGTGTGCTAGAGACAAATATAAAATCTGAATAAATCAAATTTACATTAAAGTGAAGAAGGCAGAGTAAAGAAGAGCTGGGTGAGATGAGAGAATGAGGAGAGAGAGGCTAATAATTACTTAAATTATGTTAAAGCCCCACCAGCGTTGCTTTAGTCAAGAAACTCCTTCAAGTAGCTTCCTTAGAAACGCCCATCTGGTCCCAAAAGCTCTTTTAGCTTTTTTTTTTTAATCCAGACAAGATATTATATCTTGTAATGAACTTTTTACCTCTTAATTGAGATTTGGACTATCCCAACATCAATTAGAAAATAAATTAAACATATTCTAAGCTTATTAGAGTAGTTCGATTGGTAATGTAGCATCAAACAAGTAATGTTGTGATAATAAGCCATGAAAAAAGCTTTTTGTTAAAGGATTGAAAGTAGATATAAAACTCTGCTGAGAGTTGGTGCCGAAACTAACACGGTAATTCATATCTAATTTATTATAAATGAACAATATACCAGACAAAGTCCCCCAGGCCCCACAAAAGATGCAAAGAAAAAGATAATGTTACTCCTTGTTGACGCGTGGAAAGTAAGTAGTGAGAAGACTTTTATTTGTTTTACTTTACCCCACAAATTCAAAATAATAGAAATGAAATAATACATAATAATTGCGAGTCACAATAATATAACATGTCAAATTGTCAATGATTCTCCTTACTTTATCATCCATTTCCGTCCATGGCTATGTTGGTCTTATATTTTTCATTTGGTTCTGACTGAGAATTACATTTAAACTAATAATTAGAAAACAAACTTTGAAAGGCTGAGACAGTTTTTTTTTTGTTAATTTCTTGGTGAGTACGTTGATATTCAGTCCCTAATCTTTACACAGTTTGCTCCATGTCCGTCCCTGTAGTTAAAAAAACAGCTTCAGTCCTCGATAAAATATTAGACGTGGTGGGGGAGGGGGGATTAACGGCGTTAGCTTTGTTCAAATGACATCCTAATCATCAAGCGAGATTGAAGGATCTGAAACTGAAGAAATCAAAGATGTCGTTTAACCCCATCGACTCAGCGTTTTGGCAAGCAATTTAAAGAATGATTCATGGGTTAAAAATTATGCAATTAGCCGCTTGCCTGTCGATTAGGATGTAATATGAGCAAAGTTGACGCCGTTAATTCCCCGCATTGCGACGTCTGATGTTTTGCAGAGAACTGGAGCTATTTTTTTTCTTTTTGCCTTTTTCCTACCGACGAGCTATTTTTTTCAACTAAAGGGATGGAGCGAACAGTGCAAACACAAGTAGCAAGTAGCAGCAAGTTAAATCATAGGACCCGAAGTACAAGCTTAATAAAATTATAGGCAAAAAATAATTAATCTTTTTTAAATCCAATTCAAATATTTTTTAATTAAAAATTTAATCATTTAATTCTTAAAATTTTAACTCATTTATAATTCAATCTTCAAACTTTACTTTACTACAATTCAAACTTTATAATTTTAATTCAATTATAACTTAATTCATAAAATTTGACTTATATAACTTAATTTTTATAATTTTAATTATTTAAAATATTAATTTTTATATTTAAAAAATAAAATTATAAAAATTAAAAATATTTTAATATTTTAATATTTATAATCCTTATAAAGATAAGAAGGGTCTAATAAGTTAAAATATTAATCCTAAATTTTAACATATGTTTAATATTTATAATTTTATTTTTTATAATATATAAAAAAATATTTTAAATAATTAAAATTATAAAAATTGAAATATAATAGCCAAACTTTAATGTTTGTGTTATAATTAAATTAAAATTATAAAAATTAAATTAGAATAAGTGAAAATTTATAGATTAAATTATAATTAAATTAAAATTATAAAAATTACATAATTAATTTTTTTAAATTTATTTAAATGAAAATATCAAACTTGACTGAAAAACAGGAATAAAGCCACTGAATGGTGTGGCCTTGGAGCACGTTAAAAGCGTCAGCTTTGTCTATGTGATGTGACGGAACAAGCCCAATCACGATGAGTTCGCTCTGCTTTTTTAAGAGAATCTCTCTTCAATTATGTGCCTCACCCATTTGTGTTCTGATCATCTTCATAATTGTGCTATATTGCTACTCTACACAGCTATTCTTCTTTGGTGCTTCTCACTCAATTCTCACCCTGCTTCTTCTCAAGCACGCTACTCCTAGTAAGTTTCTCTCCATTTTTGTTCTCTCTCTCTCTCTCTCTCTCTCTCATATTTGTGTCTTTCTGTTACTGATTCTTGTTAGGCTCATCAGTCTCATAGGCCACATCTCCGATTTCTTTGCTTCCAAACATGGACGCCTCTCAGGCGGTTTCAGGTATAATAAATCGGACCCTTCTTTCTTTTCCTCCTAAAATATTCCTTTATAATTGATTTTTTCATAATATCACGACTATATTTTTGCTTTTCTTTTTTCTTGCTAGATAAATGAGAAGATCTACGTCATCAATAGAAAGATTTGAATTGCTTAAATCTTATTTGGAATGGTTGTTGCAAGATTTCATTTTAGTTTCTTATTAAAGTCACTTTATTAAATAAGGAAACTTTTTTTTATACCTGAATAAAATTAGAGAACTGAAATTTTATACAACGTTAATGGATAAAATATTGTACAGTTTTGTCTTATTATTAATATTATTATTATGATGGGTCACACTTAGCTTATTTATATAAGTTACTTCAAATTAAAAGTATCTTGTTCCCCTAATCGCTTTTGTTAATCAAATTTCACAAAATAAAAATGGAAATGGAAAAATTGGTAGATTAATTAGTAATTTTACTATCGATCTCATATTTGTTATCTTCCCTGAAGTTTCTTTCTTTATTATAGTTTGTGTGCGGTGATATCTCCGTGAATGTTCATGGCAGATGGCTTCTCCATTTTTCGTGCTTCCAAACAGTTGGCTAACTTGAATTGCATGCATACCATTTTGAGGTAAAGTGTCATCTTATTTCTTTAAAGCATCGTTTTATTAATTGAAAAATTACAAATAGATCATATATAAAATAATTTATTTGCAAATAAGTTCTATAAATTTTTAAATAATTACTCAAGTCCTATAGGACTTGGTTATATAAAATTAATTTATCATGTAAAATGACACAAACGTTCTTGAATTGACTCCCACCTTTTGATTGGCATTGACTGACCACTGTCGGTTGTTAACTTTGCAAATCTATAAGGTAAACATCTTAATTTACAAATCTAAGTTTTAAATTTGTAAATTTTAATTTGTAAATATTAAAGTATTAATATTGTAAGAGATTGACTTGTAAATATAAAAGTTTTACTTGTAAGTGTTGAATATTTACTTGATGTTTAACTTTTAAATTTTGAATTATTAATATTTTAATAAAAAATGCGTGGACACGATATATAAAACAGTTTTATTATTATTGACAAAAGAGTAGAGTGGAATAACTTACAATGCAATGGAATGGAGAGGAAGGGAAGAGTAGAGTGGGTGAGAGGTAAGGGAAATAGAGAGAGAGGGGAAGGAATACACAAAAGAACCTGATGCTTTGAATAACTAAGAGCTGCGGAATTTATAGAGATATTCCGAACTCAAGTTTATCTAAACCTCAGGTTATTTACAATGGTTGGGTTAACTTTTCTAACCCGTGATACCTTACTTTTATTGCTGATCCCTAATTGCTTCAACTTTTTCTTTTCTTTTTCTTTTTGTCTTTGCTTTTTCGTGATATCTGCTTGTCTTGTTGTCTGCTTTTCCGTCTTCTTTCCGGCTTCTTTTATTTGTCTTTGCTTGCTCGTGATATCTATTTGTCTTGTTATCTGCTTTTTTCTTTTGGTGATTAGCTTTTTTGATTGCTATTTCTTTTTATGAGCGACGAGTTGAAAGTCTTCATAGTCGGCGCCATAAAGGTCTTGTTCTATGTCTGTTTCTTCATTTGTCTCTTCTTCTGTATTATTTGGATGAGTCGATGATGACCCTACTTCTTCTGATGCTACTTCAGAAGCCACATCATTGATTAAAGAGGCCCACTCTTCTTTTGTTTTTGCTGCTACCAACTGTGAAATTATCTTAGTTTTTTCTGCATGAAAGAATGTTGATGCTTCCACTTTTTGCTTTACTTCTTGGGTTACTCGTTTCAATAATCCTTGAATTTTTCTTATGACTGCTTCTTTACCCGCATAATTTTGAATGTACTTATCCCACCATTTTACCTTGAAGATTCTTACAAGATAAAAAATGGAAGGGCAAGGTGGTCTTTGATCCATTACAGAGAAGCACTAGCTCATAATCCAAGGAACTCTCATATAATAGAAAAATCAAAAAGGTTTTTCTGCTTCTTTCATATTGGAATTTTCTTTGAAATAATTATATCTTTCTTCTACCATTTCTGGTAGTATTTTCTTAACTAGTCCAAAAATATGGAACCATTCATGGAACCATTTTGGAAAAGTATTTGGACACTTCTGGTCGAACCAGAAAAACCAGGAGTGATTATAATTTTTGTAATATAAAACATTGAACCGGGCTTCTTTATAATCATAATAATTATAAACCTGATCCTTGTAATTTTTAGGAAATTTTTTTGCTGTATACGGAGAATACCCCCAAGTGGTGGGAGTAAGAACTTGTAATATTTTTATTTGACTGTATGGATTTCCTTCAGACTCTTTGTGTGTAATACTTATGGACTTGGAAGCGACAAGAATATATTCATAATATATTCTGTCCTTTTTTGAATGTTGTGGAATAAAATTTCAATTTCCTTCAATGGGATGAGTAGGAAATATGGCTTGGATTGTGTCGGCTATATTTTGTTTTCTGAATTCTGGTTCTACAGGGCAGACATTCATAATGAATTCTTTTGGAATATATTGGCTATATTCTGTTTTCTTTGAAGAAGAGGCTGGTTGTTGACTTACTATTTGGTCATAAGTCTTTATTTTAAGAGATTTGTCTGATACATAATCTCTTATAGTCATAGGTCGGTCTGGCTTTTGAGGGGTGTTTGGCTGTATAGTAGCTTTTCCTTTTCCTTTATCCTTCTTACTCATCTTTAACTTTTCCCTATAAGAATTCTCTTGTTAAAAAATCCGATAAAGAATTTTCTTTTCCTTTTATAAACTGAATTTCAAAATCAAAACAAGATAAAATTGCTTACCATCTAGCAAATATCTGTTTTGAAACAAGATTTTTAACATCTTTTTGTAAAACATCTTTTGCTGCTTTACAATCAACTTTGATTAAAAACTTTTGATTTATTAAATCTTCTTGAAATTTTGAAATACATAAAACAATTGATAAAATTTCTTTCTTTATGGTGGAATATCACTGTTGAGCCTGTGACCAAACTCCAGAATGATATCTCACTATTTTTTCTTTTTCATTTTCTATTTGTTTTAAAATTCCTCCATATATGTAGTTCCTTTAGCCCAAGTTCCTTTACTTCCTATTTCCATAACTAATGCTTCTTTACAGTTATGGTCCTTTAATCTAGTAACATAATTTAGAAAACAGTCAAAATATATAGCTCCTTCAAATAAATTTGATTGTATAATTCCTACTATGGATTTTTGAAATTCTCGTTCTTGTCTTCTTCTCTTAAACATATAAATATAGGTTCGTCTAATCCTAATCGGAAATTAGGTTTAACCGCAACCTGTATCATGCCTATATGCATCCAGTTATATTTTTCTTTATATTTTTTTATAGTTTCCTCAGGTATCATATATATATATTGTATTTCTTTATTAATTCCTATTTCTTTTTCTACTGTTTGAGTGACATATGAAAAATCAAAACTAGTGACTTTATAAATTTTCTTTTCTTTAAATGTTGGCATTAACCAATTGGTCAATAATTCCTGTATAGTTTCTGTAGTTATCTCTGATTCACCAGAAATTTGATTATTACTTATTTCTTCTAATTGGTCAGGTTCATCTATTTCTATTTTACACCAAAAATACCTACACCAATTTTTATACCGGAAACTTCAACTAATAGAGAAAATCCTGATAACATAAAAGAAAATATAGAACTTGAAACACAATCACAAATAGAAAAAGAATTTAAAGCTTCTACAGAATACCATTCCTTAATGGTAATTAGAAAAGAAGGCTTTGAACTTAATAAAGACATTTTAAGAGAAATGTTCATGTCTTCAAAAAATAAAGAAAAAAGAAATTGGTATTTTAAAAATTTTAATGATATAGAATTAGAAAACATAAAAAATGAATATTATAAAGAACAATCCTCAAAGACCAATATTTAAGTATGAAGCTATATCAACAGAGCAAGCTAAAAATATGACTTTAAAAAAATGGGATATGAAAGATAAACAAATAGATTTATTAAAGGATATCCGTAAAAAATTAGAATCTTTAAGTTTTAAAGAAACAATAAATGTAATTACTAAACAAACAGAAGAAATGAAAATAAATAAAGTAAAATTTAATCCAAAAACTAAATATAAAAATACAAAAAATTATTATCCGAGACCAACACTCCCGGATCTTCAATTTGAAGAAAGATGTACTATGTCTGCATCTCATTATGATGGTTCTTCAATATATGAATGGAATATAGATGGATTAAGTGAATATGAAACAATGAATGTAGCTCAAGAAATAATTATGGCTGTAGCTGCTTACAGGATAAATAAAGTTAATGACGATAATATATTTGAACTTATAACCCAAGGCTTCACTGGAAGTCTAAAAGGTTGGTAGATGAGTAAGAAGGATAAAGGAAAAGGAAAAGCTACTATACAGCCAAACACCCCTCAAAAGCCAGACCGACCTATGACTATAAGAGATTATGTATCAGACAAATCTCTTAAAATAAAGACTTATGACCAAATAGTAAGTCAACAACCAGCCTCTTCTTCAAAGAAAACAGAATATAGCCAATATATTCCAAAAGAATTCATTATGAATGTCTGCCCTGTAGAACCAGAATTCAGAAAACAAAATATAGCCGACACAATCCAAGCCATATTTCCTACTCATCCCATTGAAGGAAATTGAAATTTTATTCCACAACATTCAAAAAAGGACAGAATATATTATGAATATATTCTTGTCGCTTCCAAGTCCATAAGTATTACACACAAAGAGTCTGAAGGAAATCCATACAGTCAAATAAAAATATTACAAGTTCTTACTCCCACCACTTGGGGGTATTCTCCGTATACAGCAAAAAAATTTCCTAAAAATTACAAGGATCAAGTTTATAATTATTATGATTATAAAGAAGCCCGGTTCAATGTTTTATATTACAAAAATTATAATCACTCCTGGTTTTTCTGGTTCGACCAGAAGTGTCCAAATACTTTTCCAAAATGGTTCCATGAATGGTTCCATATTTTTGGACTAGTTAAGAAAATACTACCAGAAATGGTAGAAGAAGGATATAATTATTTCAAAGAAAATTCCAATATGAAAGAAGCAGAAAAACCTTTTTGGTTTTTCTATTATATGAGAGTTCCTTGGATTATGAGCTAGTGCTTCTCTGTAATGGATCAAAGACCACCTTGCCCTTCCATTTTTTATCTTGTAAGAATCTTCAAGGTAAAATGGTGGGATAAGTACATTCAAAATTATGCGGGTAAAGAAGCAGTCATAAGAAAAATTCAAGGATTATTGAAACGAGTAACCCAAGAAGTAAAGCAAAAAGTGGAAGCATCAACATCCTTTCATGCAGAAAAAACTAAGATAATTTCACAGTTGGTAGCAGCAAAAACAAAAGAAGAGTGGGCCTCTTTAATCAATGATGTGGCTTCTGAAGTAGCATCAGAAGAAGTAGGGTCATCATCGACTCATCCAAATAATACAGAAGAAGAGACAAATGAAGAAACAGACATAGAACAAGACCTTTATGGCGCCGACTATGAAAACTTTCAACTCGTTGCTCATAAAAAGAAATAGCAATCAAAAAAGCTAATCACCAAAAGAAAAAAGCAGATAACAAGACAAATAGATATCACGAGAAAGCAAAGACAAATAAAAGAAGCCGAAAAGAAGACGGAAAAGCAGACAACAAGACAAGCAGATATCACGAAAAAGCAAAGACAAAAAGAAAAAGAAAAGAGAAAGTTGAAGCAATTAGGGATCAGCAATAAAAGTAAGGTATCACGGGTTAGAAAAGTTAACCCAACCATTGTAAATAACCTGAGGTTTAGATAAACTTGAGTTCGGAATATCTCTATAAATTCCGCAGCTCTTAGTTATTCAAAGCATCAGGTTCTTTTGTGTATTCCTTCCCGTCTCTCTCTATTTCCCTTACCTCTCACCCACTCTACTCTTCCCTTCCTCTCCATTCCATTTCATTGTAAGTTATTCCGCTCTACTCTTTTGTCAATAATAATAAAACTGTTTTATATATCGTATATTTGTGTCCACGCATTTTTTATTTGTGTCCACGCATTTTTGGTATCCAGCTAATAATTCTCGTCTTGATATAAAATATAAATTATCTAATGCACATATTTGTAACCAAGGAATATGTTTTAAAAACATATTCATGTTAGTAAAAACATTAAGCGAACCTGCTATTTTAGGAACTCCATTTTTGGAACAAATTATACCTTTTAAAGTTGGAATAGAAGGTATAATTACTAAAATAGCTGAAAAGAAAATAATATTTGAATGGATAAGTCCTCAAATTAGTAAAGAAATTAAGATGTTAAAACAAGAATCTATATTTAGAATTAATACTATAAAAAGAAAACAAAATCAGATAAATTTTATAAATAAAGAAATTCATTATAAAAGAATAGAAGAACAAATAAAAAATAATCAAATACAACAAAGAATAGAAAATCTTTTTCAAAAATTTGAAAAAGATCTCTGTTCTGAACATCCAATGCTTTTTGGGATCGTAAAAAACATATTATAGATTTACCTTATGAGGAAAATTTTAATGAAAAACAAATACCTACTAAAGCTAGACCAATACAAATGAATCAAGAATTCTTTCTTCAAATTGAAGATCCGGGAGTGTTGGTCTCGGATAATAATTTTTTGTATTTTTATATTTAGTTTTTGGATTAAATTTTACTTTATTTATTTTCATTTCTTCTGTTTGTTTAGTAATTACATTTATTGTTTCTTTAAAACTTAAAGATTCTAATTTTTTACGGATATCCTTTAATAAATCTATTTGTTTATCTTTCATATCCCATTTTTTTAAAGTCATATTTTTAGCTTGCTCTGTTGATATAGCTTCATACTTAAATATTGGTCTTTGAGGATTTATGGTTAATTTTTCAGGATTATTTTGTTGAATATTTTGTTGTGTAATACTATTATTTTCTAATTTTTCTTCTATTCTATCCAATTGTTGTCCTATACTCTGAATAGCTATATTTGAATAATTGTTTTGTTGAACAATTTTTTGTAGTTCTTTATTCTCTTGAGTGTTGACTATTTTTAAGGGAGAAGCTATAATATTTGTTTCTCCTATTTTATATATGATTTCTTCTAACGAAGGATGAACAGAAGTAACCGAGGTATTATTTTTACACGCCCAATTTTTTGTTCTTATAGAAGTCATATTTACAGAGGGATGATTATTTTTACTAAAAGGATTAAATATTTGATTATTATAAGTATATATTTCTAACCATACAAAAAAGTCTATATGTTCTCTTAATTGTATAAGTTCTTTATAATATTCATTTTTTATGTTTTCTAATTCTATATCATTAAAATTTTTAAAATACCAATTTCTTTTTTCTTTATTTTTTGAAGACATGAACATTTCTCTTAAAATGTCTTTATTAAGTTCAAA